TGTTGAGTTCGAACATGCAAACATTAAGGTTTTAGTAACACACAAGTGTTAATGCATACACGCGCGCAAGGGTTAATGTTATGAGCCCACACAAGAGTTAACAGCATTTGACATTTTGTTATTCTTTTTCTCGCTTTCGTTCTTAGATGTATTGTTAGCTATCGTTGATACATTTATATTGTTTTTTCGTACCTTTTTGCATTTTCTCGAATCAGCTACCGCTTTTTTTCTGCGCTGCATCGTTTTGCGAAATATATTGAGTTTACCATCCGCAATTGATATTTTAAGAATAAACTTTAACCTAAGCTAAACCAACTGCGTTTATTTTCATTTTGGATAACCCCGCTTGAGGTTTGGAAAATTGCAAGCAAAACCGCCTAGTCGTTTTTTGGTGCACCAGCAATCTGCTGCAACAATGAGAAATACATAAGAATTAGGTCAACAGAGTTGAAATTTTCCAATAGGAATCGAAATAAAATCAGCTAAAAAGGTTACCGAAATTTATCGAATCGTCGAAGTTTATATTTATCGAAATTTATCCATGCTTATTAAATTATCGCAACGTATCGAATTATTCAAACTGATCAATGTTTACTGAGTTGTCGAAATTTATAGACACAGAAACTTAGTTGTCCAAATTTACGGATAGTTATCGAGCTATAAAAACGTGTGGGATTAACGAAATTTTTCAAGTAAAGAAATGTATCATGTTATCGATATTTTTTGAATTATCATTATTTATAGACTTAACGAAATTTATCGAGGTGTCGTAATGCATGGAGTTCTTTCAACTTACAGAGTTATCTATAATTATTGATCTACTGAAATTGGTTGGTTCAACGAAGCTAAGTTTATGGAATTTTAAAAATATATCGGTTTATCGAAATTTCAAGGTTATGTAAGCTTATCGATTTATCACTGCCTATCGAATTTAATCGTCTTAACATAGTGTAACGAGTTATCAAAATGTTTAGATAGTTTTCGAAAAATGTGGAGATGTCAAAAGTAAAAATTTATAAAGGTATCCAAAGTTTTTACATTTTTGAGTTATCGAAATTTATCGAGCCATCGAATTTCACAGTTATCGAAATTGGTCGAGTTAACGAATTTTGTTGAGTTATCGAATTTTAGTGTTCTTGAAATTCATCGAACTATCGATATGTATCAAATCATTGAAATTTATCGATAAACTTGAATTGATCGGGTCAATTCCAAAACCTGCCGAAGTCCTCCAAAGACCTTCTCAGATAAAAAAAATTTAGTTACGTTTTAGCAGAAGATTTTCCGGTTAGTTAATTTGTACCGTATAAGTTTTGCTACGTGTTAAGTTAGAAAACCTCTCCAAGGCTTCTAAAACTAGAAAAACTGTCGAATTTCGACAGTAACTGGCACTCTAGTTATTATAATTCGCATAATTGCCTTTGCAAATGATATACTCACATAAATACAAACATATGTATATTAATATAATTACTAAAAATACGGCTTTTGATAAAAACAACGCCATGGTTGATTAAGTAACGAACATGGCAACTCCGGAAGTATTGAGGAAATCTGACATTTCCGTTGCTGGCCCAAAATTTTCTACAAATTTGTACAACAAAGAAATATAAAATTGTGGCGATCTCTTAGTGAAGGGAAACACGATTGTTGAGTATTTGAACTAGCAGGAAACTAGCAAAGTCATTCGCAAGGGTTTACAGAATTTGTATGCAGAGGTGTCAATGTAATCAATGAAATAAATATGAACACGCTATGAGGTGTCTACCAAAATGTTTAAAGGAAAAAATATTTTCATAAGACGACTTATATGTATGTATGAATATTTATCGAAATGTTTTCTTAAAGTTCTTTTAATATGGGCCTAGGAGGGCTAAGCAATTTTTAAGACTCTAAATGATTGTCAGAACATTTTTATAAAATTGCGCATTTAATTTTAGAAAAATAAATACGAATGCAAAAGGTACAAACTATTGAATACACAGAGCAACTGAACTGCACACAGTTAAATTTGTGCGGCCGCTGTGATTTAGTAGTTAGCAGTGCGCGCTACCACACCGCAGTGCCTGGGTTCAAGCCCTGGTCAAATCAACATCCCAAAAAAATATAGAAAAAAGATTTCTGAACAGCGGTGGCCCCTCCGCAGGCAATGGCAATACTCCGGGTGTATTTTTACCATGAAAAACAGCTTCTCATAAAAATATAATCGGCGTAAAACTGTAGGTCCCTCCCCTTTGTGTAACAACATCAAAGCGCACGCCACAAATCGGAGGAGAAGCTCTGCCAAACACTAATATATGTGTAATCTGTTATTAATTGAATCATCTATTGGGCGGTCGCTGTGGTGTAGTGGTAAGTAATGCGCGCTTCCACTCCGCAGCGCCTGGGTTCAAGCCCTGGTCAAAGCAATATTGCAAAAAAATTTCGAAAAAAAGTTTATTCTTAACAGCGGTCACCCCTTGGCAGGCAATGGTAAACCTCCGACTGTATTTCTGCTATGAAAAACAGCTTCTCATAAAAGTACAATCGCCGTTCGGAGTCGGCGTAAAACTGTAGGTCCCTCCACTTTGTGTGACAACATCAATGCGCACGGCACAAATCGGGGGAGAAGCTCGGCCAAACACTAACATATGTGTAAGCGCCGATCTATTATTATTATTATTGGATCTAAATCACAGACAGACGACAGCGTTAATCCGGATCAACTCGTTAATTCAGAATTATCTCTGAAATTAACTGCAGCTGATCCGGATTAAGTCATGCAGCTAATCCTCAAAACTAAGCGGATCACGGGAACTTTCGGTGATAACCCTAGCATATTGTACAAGTAAGCAAATAGAGCAAGCTAATTTGGTGTCCGCGGTAGCTGAGTAGTGAGAGCTGCGTACTACAATTCCGTAGGGCCTAAGTTCGATCCTCGGAGCGAGTTGTTGCC